GTGAGTGGATGGTAGATGGATGGATGGGTGGGTGAGTGGATGGTAGATGGATGGATGGATGAGTGGATGGTAGATGGACGGATGGATGGGTGGATGGTAGATGGATCGATGGATGAGTGAGTGGATGGTAGATGGATGGATCGATTGGTGAATGGATGGTAGATGGATGGATGAGTGAGTGGATCGTAGATAAATGGATGGATGAGTGAGTGGCTGGTAGATGGATGGATGGATGAGTCGATGGGTTCATGAACGGATGGTCTAAACACTGAGTGGATTAATGGAAGGCAGGTCCAATGGATGGATAGAGTTGTCACGGTGGCCGAATGACCAGACCTGTATATTCCCGTCCTTGCCGGTCAAATCCCAACAGTGATTATTTTGGGTGCACACGAAGTCCCAAGCAGAGGACGGATTAAGCTACCATGAATCTGGTGCCCACTGTGCGTGCCGAGCGCTTTTACACACCTGTGTTGCTTTGTTTCCATAGCAACCCTACAAAGTAAGTCTGTGACTACATCTCTATTTTACGCATCACGCCATGGAGGCCCAAAATGGCCTGCGTACTCACCGGAGAACAAGGGGCAGATTTTCTCCCAGCAGGTGATGCCGCCTTCAGACGTGTACTGGCCGATGATGATCTCCAGGAAAAACACCGGCAGGCCGCTCCCGAACAGGAAGATGAAGTAGGGTATGAGAAAGGCCCCTGCGGAGAGCAGGACGGGGCCAGCGTCAGGCTGCGGCCATCCCGGGGGCCGCGCAGGCCTGCCCAGGGCGGGAGGCCGAGGAAACCGGGCAACCTGGGTCTAGGGTGTGCGCTGTGTTCTGGGAAGCGTCTGGGACCCTCCTCGGAGTCCCAGAGGGGCCCGAGAGCAGGAACAGGCTAAGAAACCAGGCTCTAAGGCAGAATTCCCCAGCAGGCGGTTCTCGTAACGCCGGGGTCGGGGGCGATCGCTCCCTATCCAGTGCTCCTCGAGCCCCTCCTGGGACACCCGCGAGAACTTTCCGCCGCCTCCTGCCCGCCTTCACCTAACAGGAGACCCGG